ATTCAGCTCCAAAAGGAAGACACATCTGGAATTAGAACCCAGAGAAGGTTAGAAGTCATTAATTACTGACAGGCCTGAGTGACCCACCAAAGAGGAACATGCCATGTAGGGACGCCCACGAAATCCAAAGATGTCATGACCAATTACTCATCGGGAATCAACTCAAAAGTCACACAGCTGTTTGCGATGGTCTCTGGGACCCTGGCAACTTGACAGCGAACTAATCCCTTGACTTCAATCTCCACTGTCTGAACCACAGCTGCAACACACCGGCTGAAGGTACTGTAACTGCCAGGAAGAGACAACTAAATAATATCAAGATGAAAAAAACAACTGAATATCAATGAATATTCAGTGCAGCAGATTCAAAATACTCAGAGCGAACTTTGTAACTGTTTCCACAATAAAGTCTCAACTTGTGGGACTTTTACAACCTGATCAGACTGGGCAAACATCCTCAATTCAGATGAGTAGTGGATATTTATCTTTTGAGTTTTAGAAATATTGGTGTATGTATGAGCCTAATTATTTATGATAATGCTAACCCGAGTAGTATAGTAATACATAATGTTATAGATAATGCTAAACTATGCTAATCCGAGTATAATAGTAAATGTATTTTAATTCTTTTTTTATAGCTCTTCACTATCCATATCAAATGGATGATCAATCCCTAATTATAATGACTGATCATCCATTGATCCATACTCTTAAATTGGTTTGTAATTCGTTACAAATACAAATTAATTTGTTGTATTAATAACATTGTGTTTTGTACTCACTGTACTTATTAATTCCTAGTAGCCATAAGGTCTTCTATGAATTTACTGTCCCAATTACTAATTGTCTCTGACCACCAAATCATTACAAAGCAATGTTGAAAGGTCGCTAATCCATGTCATAGGAGGCAAAGTAGACGTGAAAAATTTATAAAGTTTCCTACATTTAAATATTAAAAATTGAACAGAACTTGAAATGCTTCTGGCACAATAGTGTTCATAAGGCATTCTCTATGAGGCAGAGAGATCTACAGTAGCTATATGGAATTTAAAAGTTAAATTTAGAAAGAAAATGTCACTGAAAATGATGTATTGGTGTTCCACAAACAAAAGTAAAAGTGCATTACTGATTATCTCTGAAAATTATCAAGAACACGCAATGACTCATTCCAGAGATCAGACTTCTTTAATACTCCAACCACAGCATCAGCAAAAGGTAAATTTAGAAGAGCCACTTCCTCTTCAGAGTAATGAGACAGCTACACAATCTAATTTTTACTAAATACATGCCAAGCTCCATTTAAAGGTTTCTGGAGTTTGATCATTAGATATATGGAATTGAAGGGAAGAAACAGAGGAAGGGGAGGATGAACAGTCTACCAGAGGAAGGGGAGGATGAACAGTCTACCAGAGCACTGATGACATTTTGAGGTGGAAATGTTATCAATTATAACAAAACATAAAATACTTAAATTGAGTCTTTAAAGTTGATTAAGTGTGTGTGTGTGTGTGTGTGCAGGTATTACAATATTTCTAAGGACAGGAGATGAGAAGATGTTGTCACAAAAATTGCAGCTCCAGAAAAAATGAAATAAAAAATGTTTCAGAAAAAAAGGACCAGTGAGACAGTCCTCACAAAGTGAAATTACTTTTCTTATTAATCAAATGCCATCTTCTTTAGAAGCTGAAAGTGACAATACTACTTGTTTCAGGTCTGCTACAAGTCACCCAATGATGGACTTTATTTTGGCACAGTGCAGAATTAAAAATACAAATAAAAAGAGAGGCAGTGGGAGGGCCCTCACACAAGTACAGAAACACAAACCTGTGTGGCTGGACAGACACTTACAAATGTATCCAGCAGGGAAGGTAGGAGTCCAGCTGCCCTTTACCCAGCAGGCTCTGCAGCTCCCGTCGAATGCCTTCACTCTTTCCATCTTCTTCCTCCACAAACAGCATCAGCAGAGGCTTTCCCAGCTCCAGGTAAGCCGGCAAGTTCTCTACTGTCAGCTCCGGCTGTCACAGACAGAGAGAGACCTGCTTTAAGACTCATGTCTTTAAAAAACGTAGACATGAATTGCACGATGGCCTATTGCTTTTATTTTCAACACCTATGTGTGAAACACGTTCAAGTCAACCTAGACTTACCAAGAAAGCAGTAAGTGGAAGACATGATTTTATAAGCGACTCAAGCATTTCTTTGTTGTGGAAACTTTGTAAAATTAAATGTACTAACTTAGGTCTCCAAAATGTGCTAGGTTTAAGAGGTCAAAAGTCTGATTTCTTCAAAGTCAACACAGATTTTTACCCTTCTATCTCAAATGATTTTTCTTCTAAAGAAGCAACTGACTGCCGGTAACACTCTGTTGAATGCACTGCTTTGTTAGTAGACACTGCCATCAAATGGTAATATAAAGACAGTGCATTGTTCAGCACTGTAATGGTGTTTCCCAAGAATCCCTGGAGAAGGATTGGACTACTGTTCAGATATTTCAAAGGTACTATTCTCCTGTTCTCAGGCAAGCACAAAGTGCCATGGTTGTGTTTGGTGTAACAAGGGAAGTTCAAATCTGCAATTATTAATTTCCATTGTCTGCACTCAATTCTGAGCAAAAAGTCTGGATCTGAATTTATGTATTGCCACCTTGCTGTGAATTATGAAATGTACCTGTGGTTGTGCCATACAATAATGATGACAGGTACACCATTCTTGCAGAACAGGCACTTCCCCTCTTGCAGAACAGCAAGTATTCTTGTAATTGCGAACAATCTGTCTGGTATTTTAAAGATACTGTACTGGTAGCAAAATAAATTTACTAGACTGCTTACTACATGTAAATTACACAAGTAAATCAGTAACATACAGAAAAGTGTAGAAGTTTCATTATATAGATTCACACTAATCACATCTTTAATATGGCCAGTGTACATGTTATTTCATAGACTAGCTTTGGGCACATACAGTGTTTGTTTCCCTGGATGAACAACCATTCAATGCATAAAACAGTTATGAATAAGAAAAACAGCATCCACCCAGTATCTTTATCAAGAACCCATGCCTCCATAATACAAAAGTAAAAGTAAATGAACCTGTTACAGGAACAGCACATGAAGAGAACAAACAGACCCAGATATGTTTTGCTTAGCTGAGTAAATCAAAACACAGCTGCAGAAGAAGAATTACCAAGAAATAACCTTCTAATCCAGAACAATGGAGGTGTTCCAAAGCTAAGTTAAATAATTAACCACATTACTAATTGTCCTTTGGCTTTTCCTCTTTGACAACCACAAGGTGCATACAGATTTCCCAGGCGTATGATAAATGTTTTAATGTGTTGTACTAAGAACTTACTTATAACTAGGAGGAGTAATGAACAAAATGGCTTCTGCTTGCTTCTCAATTTTCCTTGAATCCTTGTAAACAAAATAAACGTATTTTTTTTAAACTAAGAAGATGTAAGAAGCAACAGTGTATGATTTCTAAAGTAATCCAGAGCAGAAAAGTAATTCAGTCATAATTGTTCTCGTTTCCCAGAATTCTTCTCTTAACCCTGACAGTCTTCTTCATTATCTTCTCATGTAGAATCTTTTCTTTCCAAGGATGTAAAATAAACACAAGAGATTATCATAGCGACAGACAAATTTACTGAACTTTTAGAGTTGGGAAGGGACTGAATCTCATGGTCGTGGCCATTTTTGGATAAAAGAATTAAATGATGAAGTGATGAGACAGCATCACATTAGCTACTGCTTAGATATTTAAATCTAAATAAGTTACTGTAACTTACTACAATGTAATGGCCTTTTGCTTCATAATAAAAAGTATAAGAAATAAAGTTCCTATAAGTGAACGTGCTTGAACTAAGCACAATGCAGCTGAAATAAAACAAAACTCTAGTCAGCCTGGAATTCTCTGTGTCTAATTTGTATTCTTGTCAGTATATGTCTGGACCTTGATCTGGGTTCCAGTGTTTATTTTGGACTCCACCTGAAAACCCTCCCATAATACACTTATGAACTAGTTGCTGCACTGAAATGGGTTGAAATTAAAATCACAACATACTGTATGTGATAAATTGGGATCTGTTGTTTAATTATGCCAAAGAAAAATAACAGAAAAAAAATGTTTTTTTTTAAAAAGGACATGTAAAGTTTTTTGTACATATGGTAAATGTTAACTGCTTTAATGCAATCTTTATGTTACTATCTTCAAAAAGTTCATATTAATAAATAAAACTATACAATCTATTTGACAACAACATGGTTAAATAATTCAACATTTGCCAATTAATACAAAATACCGTTAACCCAAGCATCAGAATTATGAGTTTAATGAGCATTTTTTTATTGAACACCAACATTCAGCCTGGAGTTTTTATATTGCTTAATTTAAAAGTTAAGGTCATTCTATTTAAGGAAAGATCTGAAATTTAATCTGGTCTCAAAGTGTTCAACTGTACACGTGGTGATTTGATTTCAATGTATATTCGGGACAAGTATTTTCTGTCATTTGACTTAAGTGTTGTTTACTTTGTGAGCCACTTTATTCTTAAATGAAATCCCAAGGCTTCCATCAAAGTCCTGAAGGCTGAATTTACACAGTTTATTGCAAAGGCAGGAACAGAATACTCAAGGTTGATTCTGAAAAATGCTGTTTTGGACCTAAAGATTTTGTACTTAGTGCACTGAATTCCTCAACAATGCTCAGCAGTTAAGGAGGCAGAGGCAGAGATGAAAATCATAGACAGATGGAAAGATTGAGTAACCGGCTATAAACAAGTTATAACAAAGCTGAATACTGCTGGAGAGATAAAAATTAACCGCATTTAAGGAAAAGATAACATAAACACATATAGAACTGACCACAGATATTCTCAAAGCCAGTGGCAGAATGGAACAGGGTGAGTCCACAGGAGATGCTGATATGAGATGCCCTTTAATAAAGCCTCTTTAATCAAGATGTACTAATTTGGACATACATCTAGTATAATAGCACCTTATCATACATCTTGATATCAGAGTAAGATGGAGAGATGGGACGATATCTTGCACAAAGCAAAGGATCTTTTTTCATTAACAGGGATGGAATGGCAATATTAACTTCCCTTTCTCAATGGCAGTACTGTATGACATTTCAAGCAGAACTTGTCCTAAATGTGGCCAAAAGGTCTGATAAAATTTGTGAAGAAAGCCGTGAAAGGTGGTTGATTTACCATTTTCCATATCCTAAATTGTCTACTTTACCCAATAAGGATATAGAAAATTTTAATATAGCTGCATCTACAAGAGAAAGACCAGGTAAAGAAGGCATTGTACTGTAGATGCTTCAGACAATTTCCCTGATCATTTTGCAAGTCCTACAGTATATACAGTATATAACTCTGTTATTCATATTATTTGTAATATTATTCATGCATAATATATACTATACCAGAAAAAATATATAACATGAATATAATACTGTAAATATTCATTTGTTATTAAGTTTTCACAGGACCTGAAAGGAATACCTCAATTGTCAGTTTAAAAGCACAATGAAAATATTCACTGCTGTGGAGTCTCAAAGCTAGCAAATATCTTTGTCAATTGGCATTTAAGTTACAATTCTGCATACAAGAAACTGGGTATGATGATTTTCTTCTAACAAAGTGGACGTCAAATACAGAAGCTTCATAAAAGGTGAGGTATTGAACATGTACTATCGGAGCCAATGTGCTTTCCAATTCAGTAATTTCCCCTAGTCAATATTTATGCAGTTGCAAGTCAAGTACATATAGAAGAATTGTCTTTAATGAAGTTTTTGACCATGGGAAGATGTTTCAGTTAGAAGAAACCTGCAAAAATTGGTATGGTAACTGTATAAATACTTGGGCAGACCTACTGTAGGTAGTTTATCACAGAAAACTGACTTTGACCTGTTAAGTATATAATTCATGACAGCATTCATACCTGCAAGAATGCTAACAAAATCTATCAAATACTGGAGGGACATGCAAAACCGAAGCAATTTTGTGAACTAAGATAAGTTTTAATATACTGTATGCTAGTCTCCTCAGTTAGTTACTGTAGTTATGAGCATTAGAGGCTGAACACACTGTCAAAGAGGAATAATGTCTTGATTGACCAAAATGTACTGTACATGGCAGATTGCTAAGCAAGAAGAGGAAAAACATATCAGTGATAGAAAAAAAGCACTTTACACTTTAACTAGGTAACAACACCACCCCACCCCTAACAACAGAAAGAGCCACTTAAAGAAAACCCCAAAGGAAGATGGGAACCACATTCGTAGGATGGGATATACTGTACTGTACATTACTGTTGATCGCACACATTGGATGGCACAGAAACACAGATTCAAAAAGATGGTGGGACAACAAAATTGACAAGAATGGAGGGAGGCCGCAGGAGCTCTAACTCAGAGGTACCATCCTACTATAGCGATTACATAAACTCTCAAGTGCTGTTTTCAATCAGATCACTCGCATACATAATTTGCATTGCCTGGACAATATCTATGTTTTTCTCTTGATACATGGCCATGGCCAGCAGCCATATCACCCTGCAACTTACAACTGGCAACCCACTGAAGCTCAGCAGGTGTGAGCCTGGTCAGTACCTGGATGTGAGACCTCCTGGGAAAACCTAAGGTTGCTGCTGGAAGAGGTGCTAGTGGGGCCAGCAGGAGGCGTCCTAATGCCCCAGTATAGTGACGGGGACACTATACTGTAAACATGTAAACATCTGTACATACTGTAGCACTGGATTTCACAGATTATGTTTTGAAATTAGGTTATACGGCAGGTCCTGCAATTCTGGCAACCAGAGTCATGCAGAACTAAGAATCAAACCCTTATTTTTGGAATATTTAATGAAGTCCAATTTTTCTTTGTCAGATCCTTAGCTATGGGACAGCAACAATTCACAGTATTAAGCATGCTGAGCATTAAACAGTTCAGTAATCAGTTAAGCATCTTGGTAAAAACATACCAAAGTCAATAGTTTTAATAAGTCTT